AGCGTGCACCACTTGCTGAAGAGAGCAGAGTGTTGCTGCGGGAAAACTTACTGCAGCAGCGTGCACCACTTGCTGAAGAGAGCAGAGTGTTGCTGTAGGAGGGTCTCCCTCTGGAGCGGGTGGTCGACCTCAGCGCTGTCCATGATGGTCCTGAGGGCCTCGCAGCTCAGACGCGGCACGGTCAGCTCGCTCAGCGTTCTGTCTGACGTGCGGCAACCGCCGCCGCTGGTGCCGTCGTTGTGGTGGAAGTACAAGTCGCTACTGGCGCTCTCCTCCTGCCAGCAAATGAATAATTAGTGCGTTTATCAACGATGAACTTCGAATAAACTTTGATACATTAGCTATGATTTATAAAAAATTTACTTGATTAAAGGCAATTAAATTAGTAACTTCAACGTACAAGTTGCTGTTGGCACTCTCCTCCAGCCAGCAAATGAATACTCATTAGGCAATTCATTGATTAACCTCATATAAACTAGAACAAATTAATTATTCTTGTAACTTCAAAGTACAAGTCAATGTTTGCGCTCTCAACCTCACCAAGTGAATGGTTGTTAGGCAATTCATCAATGAAGGTACAATTATGCATAAAAATATTCATTTGAAAAAGTCTAAAATTAACTCTACTGGTGTAGGTCATATGGTCACAGTTGCCAGTTATTCCGTGGCTTCCAATTAAAAATCATGTAATTTTTAAAGCTTAAACAACACAAATTGTAAAATACTTTCTTATGCCAGGATACTTAGGTACTTCCACGTAATAGTTATAAAAATGGTATCTATCAATAAAATAATGTAATACATTTAATAAAGCAAGTAGCTAGGAAAAACCACACAGTTGCTACAGAACAGGTAGATAAGTAAATAAAAATAAATATAAAAACATTTTTAAAAACCACGTGTTTCTGGTGGTTACTAAACTCAAAACAATGAAATAAAACAAATAAAAAAGCTTAAAAAAACACGTTTTCTTAACGGAAAAAAAGAAAAGCATTAACTCGTTCAACATAACATTAAAGTTATGTTGAATGCTATGTAAGAGTTAATGTTTTTCTTTTTTGTCCGTTAAGAAAACGTGGTTTTTATATTTTTTTTATCAGTTTTATTTCATTGTTTTTAGTTTAGTAACCACCAGAAAAACATGGTTTTTAAAAATGTTTTTTTTTTATATTTATTTTCTACTTTTTACTTTAGCAATTCAAATCATTTTCCAGGGTTGGCAACTCTGGATGTTCAACAAAAAACTCGATTCCCAACCATGAATTTTTAGGAGTTTTTAAAATTTTTTCTTTAATTTTTTTTTTAAATTACCTATTACTTCTGATAATCAAATCTTGAATTGTTAGGCAGCATAAACATGCATGCCAAATTTCAACTTACTAGGATGTTTAGAAGAGCTCTAAATTAAGGTTTGAATTTTTGATGGCAGACGGACACGAAACGAAGTCAAAAAAACGTGGTAATAAGAAAAACTTGGTAATAACAAGTAGATTTAACAGTAGAAGAAGCTTGCTGCAGTAAAACATACCTCGTCATTGGATGCCTGTCTCTGCTTCTTGCGCATCACAGGAGTCTTCATCTGCACAGCAGCAGG